CTTACATGGAAGGAGTAACTGGGCCACTGCTGGCACAAAGCAAGTAACGAGCAATTTGGAGTTTGGATGTAAAAGGAGCAGCATGTCCTAGAAAGATTACAGCTTGCCAGTTAGCACAGATGAAGCAGCCCAGTTCCAATTGGTGCAAGTTAAAAGCTAAAAGAACCCATGGAGAGACTGGGGATTTAAAAAGATAATTGTTTTGCAAAATAACTTAAAAATACAATTTTATAATCCTAGATTGTCAAGGAAACACCAAAACACTGCCTTTCCTCTAGATGATTCATGTTTACAATAGTTAAATTTTAATTAACTTATTTCATTTTGTTTTTCTTACTTTACATAGCAAATAACTATTGTAATTGCTGCTTACTAAAAAGATGTTTTTCAGATCACGACCCTACTCTTGCCAAAATCTTGAGCATAGAGGACATTTCACTTAACTTATGGAGCAATTGAAAGAAACAATTAATTGGCAGTAATACAACTACACAGAAATATATTGGCATAAGTCATGCAGATATATGTTTATATGTTTATATGTTTTTGCTTCAAAAATACCAAAGCATATTTCTGGAGGATCAAGTTAAGCACCTTAACGTAACTCAGAAGAAAGAAAAGCACTCACCACAAAATTGACATAATTTCCACTAATTATGGCAGTTTTGTGAAAGACTGAATAGGAGGCCAGCCATACAAAATAGTAATAAAAACAACAACAAAAAAGAAAACAAAACAAAAAAGGTCTCTACTGAGCTCCTGCACTTCCTGTTTGCTCTCATGTCATGCCACCTTTTGATCCAAAATTTGCAAAAGCAGCAACCACTTTCACACTTTTGGATAGGGGTTTTGAAGCTTGCTGGGAACATACTGTCCTTCCAGCATAGCATTAAACACTGGTTGTTATTACAGGAGTATCTCCAAAGCTAAGGAATTTAAAATGTTCCTTAGAGTTCTACATGACACTTAAGGACTTGTGTCCTGCCCGGACCATGAACAGATGCTGTCCATAAGTTTCACTGACTGAACTGTGTTGGAGCCACAAAACCAGGGAGAGGCCCATGTGAAACCCTGCAGCAAGCTGAGCTTTCCCACGTCAGCACAAACCTGCGTATTGAGATGCCCGACGTCAGGCACAGGGCTCCCAAAGCAGCCCTTGCCCTTGCTCTGCAAGCACGGGCTTGTCATAAATACATGAGCACAGGTTTTCTGCCAGAGTATCTGATCAGAGAGGAACAGCATTGGACAGATTGTTATTCTATTTGATGCAGAGAATATAACCTTATTGCTAAATGAAATGACCAGCAGTGCTAACAAAAAGAGGGAAGAGACTGAACTAGGCAGAGGAATTGGAAGAAGAGATTATTTGCTGTGGCAATAAGCATAAAGAATAGATGGGTGGAATTGCTGTATAGGATAAAAGGCAGTGAAGTAAAGCATTTGGAAACCATCATTAGTTTTCAAAAAAAAATTGAAAAAAGGCAAATTAAGTTCTTGTGATAAAGGAAAAAATATTATGCTGACAGTAAAAAGTGTGTGTAGTATACTGAGCATATCGTACCAAAACATTACACAGCCTCTCTTCTTCCTATGTAATGATTTTGCATAAAAATAAAGTGTATCTTCCTTTTAAATGTGGTTTGTATGAAAAGCAAATAATCCACCCAGCAGATGGAGAAGACAAAAAAAAAAAAAAAACACCCTTACATTACCTAATGGTGAGGTGCCTAATTAGTCACAGTTAAGTCAGCCTGAATTTATTTAGCCAGTGTCAAAGCAAATATCAAAAACACATTTCCATTGACTGGTGACGTCTGCTTACCCGTTTCCAGCACTGAGGCTCCCCCAGGAAGCCGCGGCCGGTGCTGGTGTATTCGGGCTCCTGCGCTCCTCGGTGTTTCGCCAGGCAGCGTAACGCGGATCCGCACGCGCCCTGCGGAAGCCAGGAATGGAGCAGTACATAATGGAATGCTTCAGACTGCTCTACCAACTATTATCAGTGACTTATTATGATCATTGTAATTAAAAAAGATAAAAGGTCAAACAAGACAGTAACATACAACAGGGGTTTGCTGCTCACCAGATAATTTGCTTTGAGATTGATGTTGCTACACCATTCACAGTCGCATCAGTTCAATCCTCTTAGAAAAAGCTCCATGTGTATCAGCCGTAAAATTATCTAATTATCGTTACGTTAACTCAGGTCATTCGAGGTATTTTAAATGGAATTATCAATGCGCACAGTTTTGATACTTGCATTTAACTGGCCAGTGGTTTAACCAGCCCTAGTGAATTCTGGCAGCATAGGGTTGTATTAGCCACCTCTTTCTGTGCAGTTCCTAAGAAAGCTCCCGTACTTCACCAGGGGAAGCATTTACTTTGTCTGAATATATAACCATGGCCCTGGGACAAGTAAGTGAACTTCAGCAAGGGATAATGACAGCAAAAATAAGGGTTTAAAATAATAATACATAATAATAAAAGAATAAAATAGAGGAGTAATTCTTCTTCAACCTGAATGGGGCCTTTATCTACTTTACTGTAGGTCTGATTTGCACAGATAGTTTTCTTTTCTAGAAATTACACTATGGTTTCTTACTGCTGTTTTTCTGCTGTAATTTCAATGGGTGCATAAGTGAGCAAAGGAAGTGATAACAAAAAGACCATGCAGCACCAGCATGTAGCTGGGACAAGGCAAATATTTGCAGACCTTGATGCTTCAGAATCTATCAGTTACTGTCAAAACTTCTTGGTCACTTCCACGACCCAGGGCTGAGATAAGAGGACTTCTTTATCTTGCAATCTTTTTATATTGGCTCTCCCTGTCCTACAGATAACACGACCTTCCACAGAGCCAACCCCCATTCACTCTAGCTTTGGCATGGTTTAAAAGTCAGGAAGTTGAGCTCAGGATGCAGAGTACCACACATGGCCAGAATGACATCCATTTTTTTTGTGCCAGCTGTGTTTGCTTGAGTATTTCCACTTCCTTAATATGGTAAAAATAAGCAATGTTGTTTTCAGGCACCTGTTATTATTGAGGTAACTAGACTTAACTCACAGAATGAATTGGAGAGACTGGGAAGAATTAAATGGCAGCTCCTGACAGAAGTTTTGTCTTCAGTTGCATTTAATTACCTATTCCATTCTTAATAAAATTCCCAAGAAACTAAATCTTGAAATAACCCTGTTAACCTGATTCATTTCAATAAAGATATTAATGCAAGAATTATTCCCAGTCCAGGAAAACATATAGGACATTAGTGACGATAAAGATGCACTGAGCCTGTTAAGAGCATAAACTAATAAAATGGGAGCCAAAGGGTGATCTTGCCCAGAGGCTGGCTGCAGTTCACGCACTTCGGTTCCTGCTCTGCCTCACACGTCCTGCGTGGGCTTTGCCGACACATATCCATGCCTCACTTCTCTATTTAAAAGAAACAATCCATTTGGATGCCAATTTTCCTTAATCTGTTTCAGGCAGCACAAATTTCATTTCAACAAATTTCAACTGTCGGGATGCTGCAGGTAGACATAAACACTAATCTGCAGTAGTAACTGCAATTTTTTCAAACCTCCACTATTCATTGAGAAAAAAAAATCTTCTCTATAGACCTTGTAAAGACTTAATATCCAAGTCAGTTTATTACCTGCTTTCTAAAGTCATAACTAATTAATGAAGTCATTTTGGAGCACAAAGTCCTGAAAAACCCAACAGATGTCCTGTAAAACTGATTTTGTACCATTTTTAGACATCCTTTTTTTTTTTTTTTTTTTTGGTAATACGCAAAATACTTTAAATAAGCTTTAAATCTCAGGAGCAAAAGTTTTTGTCACTAGCAAATGGCAATACGAATTGATGTTCTCACAGCATCTTTCTTAAATTCTTTTCGTAGATATACCTGCGAAAAAAAATTAGTACAGGTCTGGATTTTCATACTGTATTTTTTCACATTATTATCTAAAATATAATTCCAAGCGCATCATTTTCTACAGAATAGCCAAACTTATGATAAAGGCAACTACAGAGTTTCAGAATGAAACAGCAGTGACATTAGGAGCTAGTATAGACAACATATTTGTTTTCTCAGTTTTGTGGACCGAGAGTCAGTATACCCTTTGGCTGAGATTGGTATAGGATTTATTTATTGCTTTACTCATATGCCCTGCATTCGTTAACTGTGGTTTATTTGCAACTCCCTATAAAGGGGATGAAAAAGCTCCTACATGCTGCTATAGGTGTTGTATCAAGGCTGTAATGAATAATCTCCTCTTCATACCCATTCCAAATCAGAGAAGATCAAAGGTAAAGGAACTAGTGATTCATATTATGGCAAATATTTGGCCAGATAAGATCTGGCTCTATCTACTTACCTTCCAAATAGAAATGATTCAACAGAAACACACGGTGTGAAATTCCCAGTGAAGATAATGCAAGTTCCAAATAAAAAACAGAATTTTATAATTGAGCCAATCAATATCTGTAGTTTTGTGCTAAAACAGAATAAACTGCAAGATTACACTTGCAGATTTGAGACTAGGTTACCCCTTCTATTCCAGCCGAAGAGAACACCCTATCCCCATGGATCAGGAACATAGTTCTGTTTTCATGGACAGTGAGGGCAGGATTCTGCCCCAGACTTCTCCAAGGCATGGAAGAAACAGGCAGAGCTAGCAAATGGATCAGAGGATGTTTATGAAGAAAAGCTAATTAAAAGTTTCTATTGTTTTCCATTAAAAGTTTTCCTGAATAAGTAGCAATTAAGGCTTTGGCCTACAAGCCATTTTTTTCAAGTGAAAGCAATAGGTAATGGTCGGTTAATGACAGATGAAATTCTTAATTTACTCTACAATTCCTATGAATTGGAGATGAAAATGCCTTACGATGATGTAGACTCCCAAGTAGGCACAAAGTATGAAGTTTAATTGAAAACTTTTCCTAAATTAATCTTCTTTTTGTATAATATTTCCTTCCTTTCCCCCGCCCCCACCCACACCAGGTGTGAACTTCATGTTCTTTTCTGAAAGCAGGCTGTAGAGGAAGAGATCAAAATGGTCCCAAACTATTCTACTGAAGAAACCGTGAAAAGAATCTACGTCGACTGCCCAGTTTCGGGAAGGCACAGTTACATCTACATTATGGTCCCAACTGTTTACAGCATCATCTTCATCATAGGCATATTTGGGAACAGCCTGGTCGTTATTGTCATTTACTGCTACATGAAGTTAAAAACAGTAGCCAGCATCTTTCTGCTGAATCTGGCCCTGGCCGACCTGTGCTTCCTCATAACCCTGCCGCTCTGGGCGGCCTACACGGCCATGGAGTATCAGTGGCCCTTCGGCAACTGCCTGTGCAAGCTCGCGTCAGCGGGGATAAGTTTTAATTTGTACGCCAGCGTGTTCCTGCTCACGTGCCTCAGCATCGACCGCTACCTGGCCATCGTGCACCCCGTGAAGTCCCGGATCCGGCGCACCATGTTCGTTGCCAGAATAACTTGCATTGCCATCTGGCTCCTAGCCGGCGTGGCCAGTCTGCCCGTCATCATTCACCGCAATATTTTCTTTGCCGAGAACTTGAACATGACGGTCTGTGGGTTTCGGTATGACAACAATAACACGACACTGCGGGTTGGGCTAGGTTTATCTAAAAATTTGCTGGGCTTTTTAGTACCGTTTCTGATCATATTAACAAGCTATACCTTAATTTGGAAGACCCTGAAGAAAGCCTATCAAATACAAAGAAATAAGACCAGAAATGATGATATTTTTAAGATGATTGTGGCAATAGTATTTTTCTTCTTCTTCTCCTGGATTCCTCACCAAGTGTTCACTTTTCTGGATGTATTAATTCAACTACATGTAATAACAGACTGCAAAATCACTGATATTGTGGATACAGCTATGCCCTTCACCATCTGCATTGCTTACTTTAACAACTGCTTGAATCCCTTTTTCTATGTCTTTTTTGGAAAAAACTTTAAAAAATATTTCCTTCAGCTAATAAAATACATCCCACCAAATGTCAGTGCACATCCCAGTCTGACAACGAAAATGAGCTCCCTCTCCTATCGACCACCAGAAAACATACACTGACCTGCTAAAAAGACTGCTGGGTCTTTTGACACAGCGCGATGTGTTTGGCAATATCCTGTTCCAGAACAGCCTTGTGAACCGAGCAGCAAGAGGGACAGAATTCATCTGCAGTCCTGAACACATAGCTTACTGCTAAAACATTAAACCACTTCAGAGAAAACATGCTCTGTATCTGTAAACTCCTACTGTAATCTGTCAAATCATACTGTAAGGATTTATCAGCGGCCTTTCATTTTATATTGTGAAGAGGACCGCTAGGTTTCCAGTTTGTGCTTCTTTACTGGGAGCAACGTAAATGGTGGACAGGTACAGGGGGTCTCCCCCAGCATCCTGCCGTTTACTTCGGAGAGGATAGGTAAAACTGAAAAGATTTCTGGACTGGAGTTAAAGGAAAAGCATGTATGACATTGCATGAATTCAGAAAGACCTGCTTTGCACATACCTGAGCCATTTTAGTGTAAGTATTCAGAATTTTGTTCAAGGAGTCAGAACAGGTGCGCTGCCTTTTTTTTTCCCCTCTGTAATTACATACATCATTATATTTATATTATAACTTGTTATTCAAGTGTATGTTACATCTAAAAGCCCAATGTGAAATTTGGATAGAAATTTAAGGACTGTAAAATTGATCCAATTCCCCCTTATGTTATTGTTTTTTTCATTTTAAAGTGGCAAAAGTTTATAATATATGCAATAAAATGCAGATTTATTTATTAAGTATAGAAGAAATATATTTCTAGATTTATATTCAAACTTAAAGTTATCAAATAGTTTAACTAGTATGCTCTCACCACTAAACATCTGAGACCAAACTTTGTTCTTGACTTTTATGGAGTTATTCTGTATTTGTAGAAAACCAATCCTAGAATAAGGAATATTTACTCCCAATAAGACTCTATTTGACTTGTATTGAATTACTTCTAATTTACACGAGCATAAAGCAAAACAAAGTCTGGCTCAAACTTATTTTAAAGATAATTTCCTGAAGTTAAAATCATCTTAAGTCAAAATCCAACAAGAGGAGTTATTTCTATAGTTTTATACTTTAAAAAGGAGCTGGGATCAGGTCTGAGAACACCATGCTTTTTTCTGCTCTTTCATTCATTTACTTTAAGGCAGTTTCTTGAATTGTGGCTTTGTTCTTCCAGATGCAAAATGGGAGCAGTCTCTACATATCTACTTTACAAGACCATGGTGAGGATTCAGTAGAACTTCTAAAGCACTATGTGAGCTTTAAGTATAAGCAACATTATTTCAGTATTTTAATGGCAGACAAATAGCTCAGAGCTTGAAGCCTGGATAAGTGTCATTGAAAGAAGCAGGTAAATTATTCTGATATAATGTTTTACATTTAGCTTGCATCTGTCAATGGATGTTCATGCAAGGCAGGCAGTAGAAGTGAGTATGACAACGGTCCTCTGCATTATAAAGAGCACCTAGAGCAGTGAGAGCGCCTCAGCACACAGTGCTGGCACGGAGGGATGACAGAGCTTGCCATGTGGCACGGAGGGATGACGGAGCTTGCCATGTACCTGCAGGACCCGGTTGGCTCGCGCGCAGTCCCCGCTCCGAGCACCACCGTGATCCTTCCCTGGCAGACGTAGCCCTTCCTTAGACATAGTTCAACGTGCTGTGCTTGCCACCTGCTGGATGCAGCCAAAAACGTTGTGGTGTCTCTTTCTACAACAACTTTAAGATGAAAGAGGGCTTTTTGTCTCCTGATCTCCTGCAGGTCCTTGCTCGTGACGCAGCTCCTACAGAAAGAGCTGCTTGCTGGAGGGACGAGTTAGTTATTAAACTTCCTTAGAAGACACTATTCAGGCTTTATTCCCTCTCATCTGCCGATTTGTTTGGTCACCCACACCAGTGTACCAGACAGTCACAGTAATGGTGAATGAGTTACTGCAAAAGCCAGTCATCCCAGCAGAAAATAAAAGTGTACTTGTGCAAGTGGTATCTAAGTATTTAATTGAAAGGATTCATCCATCACCTGGAAGGAAAACAGACTGGATTACAGCAGAAAACAAACATTAGTAACCTTGATTGCATCAAGCCCGCTCCTGCGCTTTTAGGCGATCGGGCGTCCTACCTGCTGGTGCCACCTGTGCCCATGGGAGGCCAAGGTGGCCGCGGGGAAGGGCAGGGACCAGCAGCTGCTGCCGTTCCAGCAGGAGACCGGCCTTGAGCTGATAGACAGAGGAAGCAGAGAGCTAAGCTGCTGTGAAATATCGTTGGAAATTTTTTGCTCTCCTAAGGGCAAAGAGATTGGTCATTGGCTGCCAAACACAGTGGGTCAGGGGTTACTGTTTGCCAAAACTAAAAGCAAATTAGTAGGTACAGAAAATTAACCACCTTCATCTACAGATAAGATATAGCAAAGTGAACTCCTGTAGGGAACAGAGTCAATGCTCTGGGTTAAGCCACATACTGCAGCTCAAGGTACCCCACAAAGCCCCAAGCTGGTAGCTACCCAAAGAGCCCTTAAGTCTCTAAGGCTCGAGTCTAAGGCTTGTTTTCTGTATGTATTTCATATATAAGTAGCAGAGGAGCAAAGAGATCATCTCACTTCGGGTAGCTATTACAGGCATTGGCCACTGTTGTGCAGCCTTGGCCACAGTGACACGTACAGGGGGGCAGATAGGAGAGAGCCAGAGCAGCCTTCAGTGCATGATCCTGCTCTTCACCTGCAGGAAGGAGCAAGACATGGCTCTCTAATACAAAAATTAAGAACTTTATTAGCTATATGTGCTTAAGAACAAACTGTCACTAGCTTAAAGAACACACGAATTAAGAAATGTGATGTTATTTTAAAAGAAATATCCAAGCACTTTTCATTCTCAGGATAACCCAAACAAGATACTTGACAAACTTTGACTCCTTCCCTGTGCTATCCAGGTGGGAGGAACTCAAGCCAATGTTCACAGGGACAGCAAACAGCCCAAAACACAGAAACTGCTTTGTCTGCTCCTATTCTGTCACAATTATATTCTGTTGGCTTGTTTGAATGCAAACTTCCTCTCTGCTGGCAGAATAGTTTCTAAATCACATTGTGTTTGACATAGATAAATAATATTTATTTCTATTTATTGTGAAAGAGTACTTAATATGACTAAAGTTTTATATTATACTCTCTACTTGCTTGCCTATTATGGCCTATCCTGAATCGTGTCTTTTATATACATACACACACATAAAATGTCTGCACTGATTAGCCTGAATTCCAGCAAAATCATTACAGACAGAATGGAGATTAATTTGTTTTTTTAGCCTAAAAATTTCCTCAGGCTTATACTTCAAGATATTTCAGAGTAAATATCAAGGCAAAAATCCCTTTTCCTTTTTTTTAAACCAAAATCATTATTTAGATGATGATTCTCATAGCCTACTTGAAACTGTGATGACAGCAGAGAATGCAGTGCGATTCCCAAGTTTGGTTTAGTTTTGCCTGCTTAGCTTCAGCAATGATTTATCTTACTGACCCCCTTTCTAAATATACTGAACTGCAGATATTCCCAGAGAGAAGTTCGCCATAGAAAGGGGACAGAAATACTGGAAAAAAAGGAAAGAGAAAAGAAAAAGAAATGGGAAATCCTGAGGCAGGAACTCATCCACTTTGAAAACATCTAGTGTTGTGCTGTATATAAATATTCAAATTTATATTTGCATCGGATTAAGAACGCCTCAAAAACTTCCTTAGTACTTAACAGAAAGATTTCTTTTCAGTTTTTTTCATTTCTTTAAAGCGCCCTGTCCAGTTTGGAGCTTATCGGCCGGTTCCTCCTCGCCTGGCCAGGTCGGGGTCCGCAGCTCTGCTCCTCCGGGTCGCCCGGTGCAGAGCCGCGGGCTGCGGCGCCCGTCAGCGAGCGCACGGCACCGGCCCTGCTCCACGGCTCAACTAACGCACTAACTAACTAACTAACTAACTAACTAACTAACTAACTAGCGCTGGCGGCCGAGCTCAGGCCCCTTGTCACTGGCCTCTGCTGCAGGCAGGGCTAGACACTCACACAGGGCCACACCATGGCAGGGATCCTTTTGGTAGACCCCTGGAGCAAAATGCTTGGCAAGTTCAGCAACAAGAACTAGATTTTTTCTTTTAAATATTTTCATGCAGTCACAGTCTACAAAGTGGTGAATGCTAGCGTTTTCTGTTTCAATAGAAATAGAATAGAAATAGCTTGATATTGTAATTGTCTTACTGCTGTTGTTTAAGAGCATAACTTCTGTCTGAAGCATTCCTACAAGCACTCGTCATCAATAGATAATAGCTTTCACAAAAGCGTCTCCGCTGCTGTACTAATCCACCAAAGTAAAGACAAATGTTTCACTGTAAGTACTCAGGCATTATCGGTTTATCTGTAGCTATTCATCTTCGGCAATATCATCCACACCGAAGCACCCACTTTATTAAATGGCTACGTTTCTTATAAAGAGCTTTGAGTCTAAAGGCAGAATGTAAGAAGTTTAACTTTAGAAACTAAATGAAGTTGTCTTAGGGAGAGATTCACCTAGAATAGAGAGTGTCAGAATAGTTAAAACAGGAGAGAAGACCGACTGTTACAGAACAAAAGGAGAAAGTGGCAAATTTATTTTCAGTATGCATTTTTTGTTGTTTTTTTTTATAGGTACTGAAAAGTCTTATATTAGGAGCTTATGCAAAGATAATAGAGAGAATGCTCCCGCCCATTATTTTTAAATATCTCAGATATTCTCAAGAAAAATGTAAACTCAGCTATTTTTCTTAAATTGAATGAATAACCAAAAAGTGTTTTAGCCAATGCCTCTATGTGAGATACTAGCAGCTGATTTACCACTATAGACATTTCTTTAAGGAAAAAATGTTACACTAGCCTTTGTAACCCCCATCAGATACTGTATGTCCAGAAGAGGAAGACAGTATACTCCATATAGACTTAAATCAGCTTTCTCTACCTAACCTGAACTTGTCTTCCTGCTTAGTTTACTACACAGTATATAAATACAGAAAACAACCAAAAATATAAAATAAGTTCAAAATTTCTATGTTATACTACTAAATATATTAATGTATAATTTTGAACAGTTATGGAATTGTAAGGGATCTAAATAAGTTTGTTTTCACAAGTTTATTCAT